CAAACCTGCTCCTGGGTGGCCAGGCTGGCAGCTATCCTGCCCTAGACGGCCACTTTCCTGTGCCTAGTGTGGACGTTGTGGATGAGGTCCACGATCTCCACACTAGACCAGGCGAGCGCCCGCCTCTTGCAGCCCTGGGCAGGCTTCTGGGAGCCGCCAGCCTGGTCCCGGGAAGAGGTGGAAGGCTGGGTGGCAGCAGGTGGCTGGCTTGTGCCGTGCCAGGTGCAGGGTCTGCTGGCTAGGTTCTGGCAGGCTTGCACCTGGCACGGGCACCGTAGCCAGACCGTGCCCCTTTAAGGGCTCCGGGGCCGGGAGGGAGGCAGAAGAATTTCCCTGGCTTGGCCCAGAGTGGCCACCAGGGAAAGCTGGGGAGGGCTAGCCTCCCACTAGTTCGAATTAAGTGGCTACACAGCCCTTAATTCAAATTACTTAATTCGAACTAGGCGTTAGTCCTCGTAGAAAAAGGTTTACCTAGTTCAAATTAAGCGCTCCGCTAGTTCGAATTAAGTTCAAACTAGCGGTTTGTATGTGTAGCGCCTATGAAAGTTAATTCGAACTAACAGCTGTTAGTTCAAATTAACTTTGTAGTGTAGACATACCCACACATAGCAAAAATTTTTAACTGAACATACAATGATACCACATAACAATCCAATAGGGCATTAGCATTCAACAGATCAAGACTTTTAAAATGATACTTATAAAGTATACCTTGTACAAACATATCATAATTATACAGCAGTGATGAATACAAGGGTTTCAGGGTGTAACTTTTTGTTACAGTGTGACAATGCTGCAGCAATACAGCTAATAATAATGAACGAGGAGGAAGTTGAGAAACTACTTCAGCAGATTTACTCAGTGGAGCACTGCTGGCCAACTAGCGGTGACTCATGCAGGAGGTGATGATGCACAATTGAGATGACCCACAGTGCTAGCAGAATTTCAAAATGACAAAAGCATCTTTCCTAAGAATCTGCGCACTGCTCACTTTAGTACTGCAACAGCAGAAGACCAAGAGTTCCCATGAAGAAGCATGTTCTCATCATCATCTGGAAGCTTGTCACTCCTGATTGCATCCAGTCAGCAATTAGCCAGTTTGAGCAGTGGCTATTTTCCATTCTCCACACCAAGCCAAACACTTCATCAACAGACAAGGGTATTTTTCTATGGCGCTGCAAGGCCAATCTGATCACTATGGAAGATTCACTAATATTAATGTAGGGTGGTCTGGAAAGCTTATGATGCCAGAATATTTAGAAACAAAGTCCCGTTTAATGGATTAGCAAGCGAGTATTCGCTCCTCAAAACATTATGGGCATTTATTTAAGATTTGTCTCATCATCGTGGGAAATTCAGCTTACATTCTGAATTTACATGCATCTCTGACTTATGACCTCTTTCACTGGGTGTTTAGAAAAGAGAAAGAAGTGAATTAAGTGATATTTTCAAACAGGTACTGTATAATAAAGATAAAATTTACATATTAATAGGCCAAATTTACAAACTATACACCCTGTATGTCTCTTCAGAGTGAAAACAGAAATGCAACCAGACATTAAATTTTAGCTCTTACCTCCTATTCTCCCTTGTCCAATGACAACATTTGGGTAAAGGCTGTTTTCATGCTCCTGGAGGTGAGGTAAGTAGTAGTATATGTTTGTAAGATGCAAAGGGAGTTTGCTGGTAAAATTTGACATTTTCAACTTCATGGCATCTTAAAATTCAAAAACAAAGGAGAACTGAGGTAATTTTCTGGCAAACATTTTCCCTCAAGTAAAGGTTTAGTATATTACAAATGCAAGGTTATTAAATCAGAGCCATTGCATCAGAGATTACTGTAGATCAAATCAATTCTTGGTGGTGGTGATGGTGAATTATTATCTTTCCCGTTGATTGAAAGATCTGTTAGTTAACCTCTGCAATACAAAACTAGTTTTCCAATGTCTCAGATGGACTGCAGGAACAGGATCAAAATAAGTTTATTGTTGTAGTGTGTTTGATTACACTTGAGCACAAACATTTTCTTCAAACAGCTTGCTGTCAGAAAATCCCACATTAACAAACCAAAATTTGAAAAAAATCATTTAGAAAAAATGGATAAATCGACAGTGTCCTGTTTTGAAAAAAGTATTTCTCATTTTAAATTTAATCTTATATATAAAAAATTAAGTGTCAAAATCGAAACACTTCAAATGTATCAAAATGTTTTGTTTCAGCTGACCCAAAAAATGTTTTTTGCAAGATTGAGAATTAATTTTCTGATCAGCTCTAATTTGTATCAGGATTGATGTACACTAGGAGCATAAATAATGGGGAGTTCTGTGGCACCTTAAAGACTAACAGATTTATTTGGACATACGTTTTTATGAATAAAAAACACTTTGTCAGATGCACGGACATCTCCATGCAAATGATGAAGTGGTTTTTACCCTCAAAAGTTTATGCCCAAACAATATAGACTAACAGATACAAACTAACACAACTACCCTTCTGAGATTTGTCACTATAGCATATTCACATTTAGGTTAACATATTCAGCATTTATAGTGAGTGTGTTTACAATGCTCAGTCCCTCCCACAGGCCTAAAAGGCTTTTAAAATCAACCCTTTTACTCCATCTGGACAAATGAATAAAGCCTGAGGCCACATTTGTGCCACAAATTAAGGGCAGTGTAGACACTATGTATTGTAACTTGAAGTTACTGGCTTCCCGGGGTGATCAGAGTTCTCCATTGTGAATGCTCTGTTGAGCACTTTGAACTCCAACTCTTCAATCAGGTGAGCAGGCATAGGCGTGCACATGGGATGTGCTGGTTGTGCCCAGGCACACCCTAATGTCTCGGGCCGGCTAGCCTGAGCCATTTTTGCGCCCTGGGTCCCGCCCAGCCCGGCAGTACCACAAGGCCCAGCAGCACGGCGCAGCGCCCCTGGGGGGCAG